CAAAATTCGTCGTCTGTAGGATTTGAACTCTAGACCTGCCACTTGGAGAGGGTGACGACTAGACCACTACACTAAGTCGCCACACCTCTTATAAGATGATTATATTTATAATCTGCGCTTATATAATTCTGCTATATAATTTTTTTTTTTTTTTTGATTTTTATAAAGCATGAAATAAATTTATATTATTGGCTTTTTCTTCTTTTATACTGCTCAATCTAATTTTTAATGCATTACTATCTTTGGTTGTGCATCATTTGATTCATTTAGCTTTTAAATAGAAAAGTGCTGCATGTTGCATTTAAGAAAAATTATTTGCTCAACTATATCAGAATAAAGCCTGTTACGAAGTGCAGTAATGTGTAATCCAGTATCAGAAAATAATCACTCTAAAGGAACTGAGGTGGCTGGTACTGATAGATATTTCTGAGTCAGACGTAATAACACAGAATATTTTTCAAATCTATCCTTCCACCATGTTAATGGATTACAGCCTTGTTTCTCTATTCTTTCACGAAGATAACGATCAACTTCGGTTTCATTATCAATTTCATTATCCAATTCTTCACTACTATATAAATCTGCAATTAAGCTATTGGTTGTTACAGGTTCATGAACTGGCACACTAATTGACTCATCAAGCCTAATTGAAGGTTGCTGGTATTCTTCTTCAGCACAAAGTGTTCGCACTGTATTATATACTGTTGCCTTTATTCTTTCATTATCAAGGAATTTTAAATTTTTAATTCGCAGATCTAAAAATGACGCTACAAGTTCAATTTTTTCAGGAATCTCCCAATATTCTTTAAGAGAAAAGTAACTCGTGGCCTTAACCAGATCACATAGCATTTCATTAGTAACAGATGGCTCAATTAACTAGTGACCTTTAAATTGTGAACTATGTGTATTTTTTTTGGTTTTGTCATGAACTTTTATTTTTTTTCATCCTTATGCTGCTTGTAATGGTTGTCAAAGTTGCTCTGAGATCATTAATGTATCAAATTCGTTTTTTATATCAGATTCAGGATCATTTTCCTCAGTTAATTGGCTTTGACTATAAAAAAATAAAAATAAAAAAAAGTAAATATTATATCAAATTTAAACAAGAAGGCTGTCTAAAGTCAGATAGTTTTTAAATTAATTACTAATCTATTTGAGTGCCACCAAGAAAAAACTTTAAAGATGGGTAAAGTAATTTTGTAAATAATAATGACATAACTTATCTCTTACTTAATATTAAGTAATATTAAATAATTATTACATTCAATTATCTATTATGTAACATATAAAATACATGATAAAGTCGGAGACATGTGATCAAAATTGAGATTGAATAAGAAGTTGTAAAATTATTTAATAATACTTATTGCAAGGTAATATTAAGTAATATTAAGTAATATTATGTAACTGACTTTGCTTATCTCTAGCGGCACTTATTTATGAAGTAAAAATTATGTAAAAATTTAGCTTACTACTAGGTTAGATGATTTTTAAATAAAATATTTTTATTCTAATAAAAATTTTCTTTAACATGCCTACTACTAGGTTCAAATACTAAATCGACATAGTCTTCTTCAGTTTGTTTATTAGAAGGTGCAAACTTCTTAATGAGTAATCTCATTGTCAGGTAAATAAGGTTATGAGTAGGATAGCTTGAACCTGAAAATATGTTGATGGCTTCATAAAATGGTTTTAATAATAGAATAAGATTATCTAACAATTGCCATTCATTTTTAGTTAAATTTATTAATTTTAAATATTCGCTATTGATTCTGTTACAATATTCTGATTCTAAAAGCAACATTAAACCAAAATATTTAATTGCTTTTTGTAACTTTTTAAGCTGAATCCAAGCCAAGTATGAGGAATTCCATCTTGTTAGCATGTCATCGATTGTTTGGTGAATTTTCGAATATCTACATTTTTCTTGTGCATCTTTAAGTCGTTCAGATTGCTTAGGGCTTTTAGAAAAAAAAAGAATTAAATTTTTTGCTTGTTTAACTAATCGCACCACAGGTTTAAGACCTTTTATCATGCTTAGTTGGAGCATGTGCACTGAACAAGATAATCGTGTAATATCCATTAAACCAATTGCTTTTTTAATGTTAGAGCCATTGTCAGTTGTAATGCAAAACACCCGACCAGTAAGCCCCAATTAGTAATAACTTGATTATGAAAATCTTCAATGACTTCAGCCGTATGTGGTAATGGAAGTAGTCGTATCATCAATAAAGCCTCTTTTAATTTGAAATTTGAATCAATCCATGTCACTGTAACCCTGATATACTCTTGATTTGTATCATTTTTTTCACAGTCTGTTTACAAGGAATTTGAAATCTAGCCTCCATATAGTTTAGGAGATGATGAAAAGCTTTACTTTGTAAAATGTGAAAAGGTTGACAATCTTCAATGATAAATTCAACTAATAATTGCATTATTTTTTCCTGCTTCCATTTTGTAATAATATGCATCACTTTAATAATTGAGCTATTAGTGTTGGTTCCCTCAGGATAGTCTTTATCAATTTGATGCTTTGACCAAAGATAGCCAAGCATATTTCTAGTTGAAGAGTTATGCGCATACTGGACAGTAATATTGTTTTCTTTACAAATTTGGCAAACAGTAAAATCACCTTTTTTTGTTGTCTCTACTTTGAAATAATCTCATACTATACTGGAATTATCACGTTTTTTTCGCTTCTTTGTTTTACAAGCAGATAATTTGCCAGATCTAAGTGGTTTCAGTTCCTCATAGCCAGAAAATTCATCATCATGCACAGAGGGTATATTATCCTCTAACATGTAATTAGACATCAAAGAGTTTATTCGGGTAATACCTACAGTTATTCTTCACTATTATTTTACTAATAATTTTTTTCTTGCAAAATGCATTTAATTAAAAAAGTTTACCTACTTGCAATATGTGTTCAATATTCACACTTGTTTTAAGATATTCTTTGATTCAGCAGCCGCTGTTTAAGTAATTTATATTTGGGGCATAAGGAAAATCAGGAGGTTTTTTTTTTTGAAAATCACTAAGACGTGGCTATTTAATAAATGTTCTGTCTAGTTAATGGTGGCAAGCGAAGATATTCTAATGTTCTTATAGTCAACGTTTTCATAAAATCATGATAATAGGTTTGCCAAAAATATTTTTAAAGAAAAAAGTACCTTCTTACAACTACAAATAGACAGAAAAAAGTTTTTTTTTACATTTTTGGTTATATTTAAACTTTAAATTATCTGGTTTGTAATTAGTTGATTGTCTGATTGTCTAAATGCAAACTGGATTATTACAGTATTATTTGTTGACAGGTTACCTGTTAACAGACAGGTCACCTGTTAACAGACAGGTTATCCATTAACAGACGGGTTACCCATTAACAGATGGGTCACCCGTTAACAGACGGGTCACCCGTTAACAGACGGGTTACCCGTTAACACATGGGTCACCCGTTTATTAAATTAACCCAGTTTTTCAAAAATATGATTTGGTTGGTGATATTTTTGGGTTGGATAATTAGTTACACAGTTATCCAGTTTATGGTTTGAAACACTACTAATGATTAGTAATTATTAATAGATATTTAGCAGAGTTGCAAAGTTTGTTTATCTATTTTATAGAATATCTCAATATTTATTAAGTAGAAAAGATTTTGATTTTTCTTAATCTATTAATACTTTTTTTTCTTTTATATTTTATTCAAACTTTTAGAAATTTAAAATTATTTAATATTCTCAATATATTACTACTATAAAAGTATATATAAAGATACTTTGTTTGATTTATTTTGCTAAATAGAATTTTTAAAATTCTTAAAACTTGTAACCAATGATTTGATTATGTTCATCAGATCTTAAATTAAATATTCAAAAAATCAGTATTACTAACTATAATACAGAAATTTTGTGTTACAAATCTTTTTTTGCAGATATTTCATGATTAAATAATTGAAATCTGACATTTTTGGTACTATTCGAATGTCTTATCAAGATGAATTGAATGGTGCTAAAATTATCAAATTCTAATTATTAGATAGTGAGATAGGTAGATTTATAAATATTATTTAAATACTAATATCTCATGATATAGTAAGCAGAATTTAATGTTTATCTCATAATATTTAATTTGTTTTGATGAGACAAATCAAATACACCAAAAATTATCAAATTTCAATCACTAGCTAACAATATATACAAAAATTCTATAATAAAATTTAACAATCATGTAATCACAATTCAATGGGTTCATTGGAATCATCTCATCAAGATGATTATTTTAGGTGGTAAAATCACAAAAGTTATTCGATTTTAAACTATACCTATTTTAATAATAATTCTAATGATTTATCATAGATAAACAGCACCTAGATTATTTTATTAGATGTTATGAATTGAATAATAAATAATATAAAAAAATACTAAATTTATATAACTACATTATATTTGAGTGTCACCAAAAGAAAACCCGACAATTTAAATATAGTCTATATTTAAATTGTCGGGTTTTCTTTTGGCGACACTCATTTAATATCAGAAAAGTAGTAAAATTCTTTTTTTTATAAACATGTGACTATTAGAAAATATCAGGGCAAATTTGCCCTGAATTGTCAAACGGTTTAAGGGATACCGTATCGCACTGCTTATAGTACCCGGGGTCTTATTCAAGAACACCATTTTTAAAATTGAATAGTACCGGGTACTATTCACGAATCCGGAAATTTCATTGGTGGAGAAGGGGTACTTTATGTGGTAGGATATTATTTGAGGGGGATACTATAAGCAGTGCGATACGGTAATACTCGGGTGGGTACTATTCAATAAATTTGATGGTTTATTGAATAGTATCCGGGATACTATAGTCAGTGCCGTATGTTACTATACTTAGGCTGAATTTAAATATGCATTTAGAAAGAGTACATTAAAGTTTAATATATATATTTTATTCTTTCAACCTTTTTTTCATGCCGGAGGCACGAAAGATACGCTAGTCTTATACATATAAACACACAATTGCTCTCCATCATCTCTCCACTTCGCTCCAGACAATTGAGCTAGAGTTATTTATTATTTGACTTTATTCTAATAATTTGTTAAATTTCAAAATGGCGCATAATTGCTCCACAATATCTTAATGCATCCGCATTATTTGGCTCAATTTTTAATGAATTTGTTAAATCACAGAGTGATTCAACATACTTCTTCATCATATAATAAATCATGCCGCGATATTTTAGTGCAGATGCATCATTTGGCTCGATTTCCAATGATTTTGTTAAATCCAAAAGTGATTTATCATATTCCTTCTTAATATAGTAAGCCATGCCACGATAACTTAATGTAGATGCATTATTTGGCTCGATCTCTAATGATTTTGTTAAATCATAAAGTGATTTATCATATTTCATTCCTTTATAATAAATGATGCCACGATATTTCAATGCACCCGAATTATCTGGCTCAATCTCTAATGACCTTGTTAAATCCAATATTGACTTATAATATTTCTTCATAAAATAATAAATCATACCACGATAACTTAATGCTTCTGCATTATTTGGTTCGATTTCTAATGATTTTGTTAAATCCCACAGTGATTTATCATATTTATTTACAGTTGACCCTCTCAAAACCGATCCTGTCAAAGCCGATATCCTGTCAAATCTGATAAAAAATTAATCTACCAAGTCCGTTTCCGTTATATAAATCTATTAGTTTACTATGTTTTCAAATCCGATAACCTCTTAAAACTGATACAAAACCTGTCCACCATGCATACCGATTCTGAGAGGGTCAACTGTATCAAGTAAAAAATAATGCCACGGTATCTTAATGTGGATGAATCATTTGGCTCAATCTCTAATGATTGTGTTAAATTCCAAAGTAATTCATTATTTGGCTCGATCTTTAATGAATTCGTTAAATCCAAAAGTGATTTATCATATTTCTTTGTCGTATAATAAATAATACCACGATAACTTAATGCTTCTGCGTTATTTGGTTCGATCTCCAATGATTTTGTTAAATCCAAAAGTGATTTATCGTATTTCTTCATCATATAATAAATCATGCCACGACTACTTAGTGCGGGTGCGTTTTTTGGCTCTATCTCTAATGATTTTGATAAATTCAAAAGTGATTTATCATATTCTTTCAATATATAATAAATCATGCCACTGTAGTTTAGTGCTTCTGCATTATTCGGTTCAATCTCTAATGATTTTGTTAAATCCAAAAGTGATTTATCGTATTCCTTCATCAAATAATAAATAATACCACAAAGTCTTAATGCACATACGTCACTCGATTCAATTTTTAATAATTTTATTAAATTGCAAAGTGATTCGTTATTTGGTTCGATCTCTAATGATTTTGTTAAATCCAAAAGTGATAAATCCAAAAGTGATTTATCATATTTCACTGTTTTATAATAAATCATGCCGCGATAACATAATGCTCCTGCATTATCTGGTTCAATCTCTAATGATTTTGTTAGATCCAAAATTGATTTATAATATTCCTTCATCATATAATAAATCATGCCACGATAACTTAATGCAGGCGCGTCATACGGTTCAATTTTTATTAGTTTTATTAAGCTTTCAAGTAATTCATTATTTGGTTCAATCTCTAACGATTTTGTTAAATCCAAAAGTGATTTATCATATTTCTTTGTTTTACAATAAATCATACTACGATAGCTTAAAGCAGATGCATTATTTGGCTCAATCTCTAATGATTTTGTTAGACACAAAAGCGATTGGTCATATTCTTTCACCATATAGCCAATTATACCACGATAACTTAACGCATGCGCGTCATTTGGCTCAATTTTTATTGATTTTATTAGACTTCTAAGTAATTCATTATTTGGCTCAATCTTCAACGATTTTTTTAAATCCAAAAGTGATTTATTATATTCCTTCCTCATATAATAGGTCATACAACGATAGCTTAGTATCGATACATTGTTTGGCTCGATCTCTAATGATTTTGTTAAATCCAAAAGTGATTTATTATATTCTTTCATCATATAATAAGTCATACCACGATGTCTTAGTGAGGATACATTGTCTGGCTCAATCTTTAATGATCTTGTTAGATCCAAAAGCGCCTGATCATATTCCTTTATCATATAACAAATTATACCACGATAACTTAATGCAGGCGCGTCATTTGGCTCAATTTTTATTAATTTTATTAAACATCCAAGTAATTCATTATTTGACTTAATCTTTAACGATTTTGTTAAATCCAGAAGTGATTTATCAAATTCCTTTCTCATATAATAAGTCATACAACGATAACTTAATGTTGATACATTATTTGGCTCGATTTCCAATGATTTTGTTAAATCCAAAAGTGATTTATTATATTCTTTCATCATATAATAAGTCACACCACGATACCTTAATGCAGATACATTATCTGGCTCAATTTCTAATGATTTTGTTAGATCCAAAAGTGATTTATTATATTCCTTCTTCATATAATAAGTCATGCCACGATAACTTAATGTAGATGCATTATTTGGCTCGATCTCTAATGATTTTGTTAAATCAAAAAGTGATTTATCATATTTCATTGTTTTATAATAAATCATGCCACGATAACTTAATGCTCCTGCATTATCTGGCTCAGTCTCTAATGATTTTGTTAAATCCAAAAGCGATTTATAA